GTTGCTGAGAGGGGACCTTGGAGCTCCCTTTCTAGATGGGCCTTGGAATCCTATTTGAAAGGTGATGTGGGCAAATCACTCTTTTTGTACTCCAGAATGGCTGAACTAGGCTGTGAAGTGGCACAGAGCAATGCTGCGTGGATTCTTGATAAATATGGAGAGCAGAGTATGTGCATGGGAGAATCTGGCTTTTGTACAGACTCGGAAAGGCATCTTCGAGCACATTCTTTGTGGTGGCAAGCATCTGAGCAGGGTAATGAGCATGCTGCTCTGCTTATTGGGGATGCATATTACTATGGCCGGGTATGTACTTTCATCTTTGATTTTATTACAATTTATGGAAAAAAATATTAAATGTTTTTGCTTAGTAGGCAAACTGCCAAAATTGTTAGCTCAACTTCTTTAAGTTGCCCTTTCACATTCAATTGCTTAGTAAAAGAAAACGCTGTCAATCGAGTGGTTGCTGCTCATTATATTTTGGGCTATGCTAGGACTTTGACCAATTTTGGCTGTGTCATAGAAAGATTGCTTGGGTTTGATGAAATTATCTGCTGATCAGGGGAGTTTTTATGGACAAATACCCTTGTCCATTAATGATGGGTTAAATTGACTGCTAATTTAAATAATTGGTAATTAGAATTGGAAATTTGGAGAAATTGGGGTATTTTTCTCTTCTGCAACAAACAACACTAGCGGAGATTGAAGTCATGCTAATTCCACCCTAGAAGACATGCATAGAATTTTTAAGCTTGGTCTTACCAGGTGCTATCACTACTTTGTTTGAATGGGATTTATTACTAGAAAAAAAAAGGGAGGGAAGAGGTTGCTCGTGTACAAGTTTTACTTGTCTTAACGCATTTCATCTGTGCTTCAGCTTCCCCTGAATTTCCCATATTAAATCTCTTTAGTTTGTACATCTGATTTTATTCTTCTTACCTATTTTTTGATGTCTGGATATGACATTACAATCATTGAATAAGATGTTGATAAACGTACACTTTGTATCCGAATGAGATACTAACGTAAAACATCCAAAGGGCAGCTAAGGCAAACTTAATCAAAGAATATGCCTCTGATTGCAAAGCTTTAAGTAGGCCTATCTACTTGGGTACGTATTGATCTGTTAGTTGATAGTACTTACTACCTGCTTCCTGTGGATGCAAGTACTTTCCACTTGTAAACACTCAACAGAATGGTTAAGATAATCATAATCAATTGTTTCTGAGTTATTTATTGGCAGGGCACGGAAAGAGACTATGAACGTGCTGCAGAGGCTTATATGCATGCTCAGTCACAGTCCAATGCTCAGGCAATGTTTAACCTTGGTTACATGCACGAGCACGGTCAAGGGCTTCCACTTGATCTTCACTTGGCAAAAAGGTATTATGATCAGGCCCTCGAGAATGATCCTGCTGCAAGATTGCCTGTGACTCTTGCACTCATGAGCTTGTGGCTCAGGAAGAATTATGCAGACACCTTTTTGGTGAGTCAATTACTTTGTCCTTGGACACATTTATGAAATTCTTGCTAACAGGCATTGAATTTTTGTTTTAGGTTCATTTCATTGATTCACTCCCGCAAATATACCCAAGGATTGAGGAATGGGTAGAGGATGTACTCATGGATGAAGGAAATGCAACAATACTTACCCTATTTGTATGCCTTGTCACTGTTCTTTATCTTCGTGATCGTCAGAGGCGGCAACATGCTGCTGCCAATATCCCGGAGCAAATACACTTGGAATGATGGAAATGAGGCAAAGAGAGAAAGCTCGTAAGCTTGTCCCAGCTTTTCTGCATATAACAGTGTAATAATACATATTTAAAGGGAGGACTAGGAGGAAGCTCAGTAGCAGGAGAATAGCATCTTGTTTCATTTCACACCTGCAGTGTTAATCTCTTGGTGTTAACGAAAAGTGTAAATTATATGATGTGAACTTCGACGGGCTGAGTGCAAATCTCACAAGAGAATGCTAACAGGATTAGTTACATTGAGATTGTGATAAGGGTTTTTTACATACCTGCACATAGTTTAGTAGGGATAACGATTTTCTGCAACTGAAGGCCTGTCTGGTTTTCCCCCCTTGTTTTCCTTTCCTTCAGTATGTAATCCTTCGGAAAATATTAATCATCTGAACATAGTACATGAATGGTGAAGCAAAATAACTCACTGGAGAGCTTGTTGTCCCTTTGGTACGGAGGGCCATACCTATGTTCGAGCAAATTAGCTTGTCTTTTTTCTTCAGTATGCTCTTAGTTTTTGTTCTTTTATGTGCCATGGGTATTTTTTGTTTCCATGTGCTGTTTCTTAGCTCTCTTGTGCATGAGTCATGCGCCCCAAGGGAGGCTTTTTTTCTGTATTTGGGTGTTAAAATTTTTCAAGAAATGCTTTGCCTATTGGTATGAAGTCTGTTTCGTCAAAGTAGCTTTGCACAAAATCACTGGTGATAGTATGTAGGTTTTTCTTCTTGTGTTTAGTTACTGAATAGGTGGTTCAATCCTTGTTTTCCCCCCCTTTCTTTCTTTCTTTCTTTTTCTTTCAGGAGTAAGTTCTTATATCACCTAGAACAGAGATTGGTTGATAACTTTTCCCTTCTAAGTCCTAGCATATTTATATGTTTGGATAATTGCTTATTAGTCCCTCACACCATCCTTAATTGCGAAATAGCCCCTCAAATCCATGTATTTGCTTATTAGTCACTCAAATTTTCAATTTTCTTGCAAATTCTTCCCTCTTCCTAGGTGATGTTATTTATGAGACTGAACTTATATTAACATTAATGGAATTAGATAGTTTTCCTGTTATACCCCCGCTCATAATTTACCTTATCATTTAGAACATTACCAACCAGTTTCACAGCAAGTTTATAGCCCTAACTGGCTCCAACTAAAACCCAAACTCACCAACTTAAGCTTCCCCAAACCCAATCCAAAGCTTTCCCCCCTCACTTTTAGAGACCAGGAAAATTTTGGGAACAGGGTGTTTCAGTTACTTGGGAGAGTAATGTATACTCAAGGGCACTTAGGTAGTTTGAGATGTCGGCTAAATGGTTAATCTAACTAGGGTTAAAGAAATTAACAGAATCCTTGCAATATAAATGAAGATTTAAGGCACTGCTAAACAATTGTTGAGATCTAAGGGATTATTTGCTAATTAAGACAGGTTTACGGACTAATATGCAATAACTTCAATATGTTTACACAAACATTTCAGTTTCCATGTTTGCCAATTTGGATGATTAAGAAGGGGTTAAACTCCCTTATAACCCTTTTCTTAACCTATTGCCAAATAAATATGTTTTGTTGTTTGTTACTTGTATGTTAGGCCCCAAACTCTTCTTATTACTAACGTTTTTTTCCAGATCTTTTCCCTCGCGGCAAGAGTGGAACATAGTTTCTCTAAATAAAAAAACGAAAATAATATGTACAAAAATGGAAACAAGGAAGTTATCGGCTCTCAAATTAGCCCACGAGAAGCACACTACGACGAGTGATATGCCTAACAAGATAGGATATTTACCCCCACCATCCACAACGAGCAATGCGAGAACCATAGAAACAAGTTAAAAAAAAAAACATTATGCTTCCTGTTTGGTGGAAAATTTGTAGTAAAAAGAATGAAAGAAATTTGATTTGTATTCTCTTGATCTCGATTACAATTGAATTTTCTGATTACAAAAGAGAGGAGAATTGATCTGGATTCTCCCCTTTGTTTAGTTCTGGGTTCTTCACGGTGGCGATGGAGTGCCTCCCTCGAATGCTCGCGTCGAGTTTGCTCTCCGTTGACGATCCGAACGTCTTGATTCACTGGAACGGTATCCCCTCCTCACGATTTGACGCTGTGAAGAACTTGCAAAGCAAGTTTTAGAACTCTGGACGAGTTAATAACTCTGAACTAGTTGATAACTCTGAACGAGTTTGAAACTCTATGAAAGAGTTGATTTAACCGAAATCGGTTTATAGCCAATGATGAAAGCTCTCTGTTATCGAACGTTGCTGAATGATGAACGTCGATCTCCCCCTTGCTGCCAAACCGAAGATCTTCTCTTCGCTGCCAAGTTTAAGATCCAAAAACCCAGCCGAAAAAAAACCCCAAACTCAGTTGAGTTTATTCGTTTTTATAGGGGATTAAGGGGGTGTAACCGTCCCTTAAATCACTCCTAAGTGGGGTGTAACCGCCCACAAATCGTGGGAAACGATTTTGAAACCGTTCAGCTCATGTTGAATGAGTCAAACAACGCCCAAGTTGGCGTTCAGGACCTTAACTCCGTGTTTTAGACTAGAGACGCGGAGTTGGGCACCCGCTGGATATTGAAAAACGCGAGGATCGCCCGTTGGATGTTGAAAAACGCGAGGGTCGCCCGTTGGATGTTGAAAAAAGCGAGGGTCGCCCGCTAGATGTTGAAAAACGCGAGGGTCATCCGCGTTTTGTTTGCTGAGGGTTGGAAACGCGGGGGTCGCCTGCGTTTTAAGAATTGAAATGCGTGCTGAGGGTTGGAAACACGGGGGTCGCCTGCGTTTCAAGAACTGAAACGCGAAGATGAATTCCGCGTTTTAGAATAAGCTAATGACTTATAACTTCTTCTGTAGAGCGTTGTAAAGACCATTGTTGAGTGATCTTTGCCTTGGCTAGAGCGTTGTAAAGACCATTGTTGAGTGATCTTTGCCTTGGCTGTTTTGGGGTGTGAAAGTCGTCAGATTGTAACTTTCATCATCGGTGTTTGATGGGATCTTTGCCTTGGCTGTTTTGGGGTGTGAAAGTCGTCAGATTGTAACTTTCATCATCGGTGTTTGATGGGAAATCAGCTATCTATTGTGATTTTTAGACAGCCTACACTTCCCAACGTAAAAATTAATTAAGCGAGTAATTTGACCTGGTTGTTTCCATAATGGGTAAATATCAGAAAACACCCCGTAACTTTGAACGATTAACGAAAACCTTTAGAAATATCAGAAAACACCCTTTAATTCAATTAAGTACAGGAGTTATCAGAAAACTCCTTCAACAACATTAATTTACAACCTCAAATCTATTCACTTATTCCATTCAGTGAAACTTCCATAATTGAATGATAATCAGTTACCTTCCTAAAAATTGAAAGAAAAAAAGAAAAAAAAACACAATTTTACCATTGAAAACACTAGTGTGCACGGTGCACCCCATGCAAAATACGACCCCCTTTTTGTTAAGCACTGCATTTTGAACTTGTTTCCCTCTAAATTTTAATGCACTTAATTCGATTATTGCAGGCTTATTATTAGAACTTATATCCACTCCTCTATACTTAAAAAATGATTGTGAGTTTTAATGCATTTGATGTAGAATTTATATCTACTCATTTATACTTAAAAAAATAATTTAAAATTTAATACATTTGATTTATAAATTATATCTATATTTAAAGAAAAATCCAAATGTCAATCCTGTAAAAAAAAATAGTTTACATTACTACAGTGAATTACTATAGCATGAACCGTGATTGTTAGGTTCTCCTTGTGACCGCCACCCACCTTATTTCGGCGCTCGAGCCTCAAACTGGGCGTTTCTCTCTCTCTCTCTCTCTCTCATTTCTTTCGCCGGTTACCTCGCCTCACTCACCCTCCTCATCCTTTTTTTGTAGAGTCGATCGGATCGATCGATCGATCAATCGGATCGGAATCATGCCACCCAACCCGAAACCAAGGGGCCCAGTCAACATCAAATCCGCTGCTCGCGAAACTCCCCTACAAACGCCGAGAGCCTCAACCCCAACCTTCAAGTCCCCCTCGATCATCCCTCGCCACCAGTTCCTAACCCATAACCTAACCCTAACCCAGCCCTGAGCCCCCATCCGCCCCCGATCATGCCTGCGCCGATCCCCGGTACGACGAGTACGACTTCGATGGCGACGAGAGAAGAGGAGGGAGGAGCGAGCCGCCGCCGCCAACGACCCGGATCATCACCAGCGAGTGAAGCGCGCCGGGTTTCAATTCCACCGGATCTGTCGGAGTCCGCGGAGATCGATTCCTCCAGGGGCCTCCTCGGCTGCGCTCGGTCCCAGGCCTCGTCTTCCCCGGACCTCAACATCTTCTACGAGCCGCTTCTCGAGTCGTTGCCGGCAGCCCTACACCGCTCCCAGCTCTCCGAGAAGGCTCCGCGCCTCCGCAAGAAGTTCCGCGGTTCGTCTCGCCGAGTTCGCCCGTGGCCAGGACCCGAACCGGCCTGCCCCGCACGACGTACCCTCCTTCACCCTCTGCACGCAGGCTGCTGGGACCCGAAGCACGCGGCCTACGTTCGCTTTCTCGCGCGACGCCGCGCCTCCGGCCGCTGCTTCGGGGTCCGGAGCTCGGGAACAAGCGCGCAGCCCGAATCCTCGCGGCTCCCCCCTGTGTCCTGTGGGACGCCTCGCGGTGAGGGGGGTCTCGACGCTGGGGTCGGGAGTTTTGGAAGGGGGAGAACGGGGAGGTGGCGGTGGCGCAGAGGAGAAGCCGGCGCCCGCGTCATGCCCGAGACCGCACCCACGCCCGCGCCGCGCCGCGCCGCGCCGGTGCCTGGCTCTCCCTCCGATAAGGGTGGTGCCTGCTGTTGACAGCGGGGGGAGAGTGGGAGGAGGGCGTTGGATTCCGGTGTGTTCCGGAATTATTGTGCTTGGATGTGTCTTGGGATTTTTGGGCGCCGATGATGTTCGGATGTTTTGGAAGGGGCGGGGGCCACGGAGAACGGGCTCTCGAGGAGATAGGGAAGGAGCTGCGGGTAGCGGCAGGCTCCTGATGTGTTTGCGCGCCGATTGAGGTTGGTGCTTGAGCAATCACTTCATAATCGATTGGATGCTTGATCATATGAATGAAGTATTTTGTTGAAAATGATTAGTAAATAATTTTTTTTTTTTTTGCTATTGGATTAGTTGGTACATTGTTAGTCTGTCTTAATTGGATATATTCTCTCTCTTCCAATTTACAGATGCTTTTAGTGGTAATTTTAGTTTGCTATTATTAGCGTTGTAATTTTTTTCCGTGGATGTTTACAATGTGTCTATGCATCTACTAACGCACTTGGTTGGATATTTTCGCACGATAATTGTGAAGTTGGCAACAATTGCTTACAATGTCTTCTCCATGTACAAGTGTCGGCGTGTATTAGTTAGCGTTTATGCCCTTTACATAGATGTTCCATATAACACCGCTAATTAATTGGTAAATTGATCGAGGTAACCTCTGGGATAGTAACGACTGTATCCACGTAATTCGATCGTTCATTACATTTGAGATCTCATCGATCTATGCCATTGTCAATGAGCACACGCAGGCGTCGTGGCGGTTTTATTTTATCAGAACTTATCTTGATGCTTAGATCATTGCATATGGATGTTTTGTGTCGTGGAAACCCAGTTCCGGTGGTCGAGTCTGTTGCCGTGGGAAGAGCCTTGAGATGTACTGCTGCCAGCGAGCCCGCGGCGAGTAGGATTTGGTTGGAGAGAGATGCCTTGGGAGTAATTTAGCGGATCAGACATGGTTCTTCTTCAAGTGATTATCCGTATATGTTGCTTGAGGAGCTTATGGTGTTGCGCGCCGTTAGGAAAAGGAAATTACGTGTCTGATGAATTGCATGCTTATTTTTATGGACCAGAGGTTTCATTGTGCTGAGGATGGTCATATTCGGCCTTTTGGGCCCTTCCTTTTAAATAACAAGTAATTGCTGATGGCTAGAGGGTAATGCGAGGTAGTCGTTGCATGTTCGTTTTTGTTCTTGTTTAACTTTGGTGGACTTGTGTTTGTGTGTGTGGATTTAGGGGGCGGAGGTAATTTCCCCTTGTTTAAACTCTTTTTTTTTTTTCATTTAATGAGACCCGCAATCGGTCCGTTGAGGTCATTTTAGAAAAAAAATACTATTCAAGTCTAACGGGTCATGGAATGCGGAGATCTAGTTTCATTTTGTGTCATTGGATTTATTGTTTTAGTAACATAAATATGTATAATATAATACATCAACCTAGTTTGAGATAATCAGTCGACTGTGTACGTAGTATCATTCTTAACGTAATCCACTAATTAAAACAAGAACACGAGGTGAAAGGTGAAGTAAATTTTCCTTAAAAAAACGTGGGACTCAAAAGAAGCTTTTATTAAAAAAAATCAACACAAATCAAATACATTAATTAAATCATCCTCTGTTCCCTAAACCTAATACATTGATCTTGTTCAAACTCAAGACTCACACGACAGACAATGACGACGGGGAGTAGAAGCGCACCTTAGCAACCCCGTGGAAGAGGAAGCTAGGCAGCTTCCTCCCTTCTTTTCCTGGAGGTACATCGAGCAAAATTTGCTTCACATTGTGGCTCATTGCGTACCTAAGCCAAGGCACGGCCTTCGACATATCGAACCCTTCCCTCCACGAGAGCATGAACCTCTCCAGTTTAGTATCAGGTTCCCCGCAGAGCTCGATGGCTCGATCCACAGAGCTTATGAAGCCGGGAACCGTAGCGTACTCTCGTTGGTCGAAGTGAAGAAAGGGGGAGGACGTCCAGGCTTGATGCCACCTCCTGGAGAGGACGGAGGTTCTGGCGGCGGATTTGGTGGTGAGAGAGGAGAAGATTTGATGGATGACCTCGCTCGGCAACTCGCTTATCCTGTCTTGATTCTCGAAGCTGCGTGCCTTTCTTCTCTTTTGAGAAGCCCCTGCTCCCTTCATGCTGCTGCTCTTCCTTTTTCTTTGATAGGTTTTCATGATTTGGTTTCGGTTTGTAGATGAAGCGAGAGGGTTCGGTGGCTTATATACAGGCTGCGTGTTCCTTCCAGTTCGAATCCGTATAGGAGTAGGAATCCTAAAGATTGAAGGGGGTGCTGAGTTTCCCCGTCTCTGAACATTTTGGGGTAAAATCCTACTCCTAAACGGAATCTGAGTTACGCGATTATAAAGGGAAATATTAGGACCGTAGCGGAGCTCTCTGACTCATGATTGGATTAAAATCCGAGGCCTGCTAGGATTACAACCTGGGGGTGTTTTACCAAATTGTGATTTCTTTGCTGGTAGCATTTTCGAAAGAGTTTTAGCGGTAGCCATCGGATCATGAAGATTGGGTCGGGGCCCTATGGGCCGTGTTAATTTCAGATTGACACGTATATCTCATGATTGGTCTCAATCCGTCGCGTGAATTGTCCATCTTGTGTGGTCTTTATCTATGGCTATTATTCAAGAAAAACTAAGACTTTTGATCACAAAAACTTTTGGTTTTTACCCCTTGTGGGTCCGTCACTAAGCTTAGAAGGTGTGAGAAATGTATGAAATTTAAATCAACGCTTTTATTCCCCTTCCTGTGTCGGTTAAGATTCAAGGAAGAATGATATTACCCTCAAATATCCTCTTTTGTTTTCGTCTTCTTAACAAAAGTAAGTACTCAAAATAAAATTGGATTGTATAATGTGTTAAAACCCTCCAAATTATTATTATAAGTGAAAATCATCGGAGATTTCTTTTCGTATGATTTAATCATACAAGGAGGTTTGGAAATCAGTATGCCCGATGGCCGAAAGTAATACTATTTTGCTCAACACAGTGGCTAAGAAAGCATTCTTTGCTGTGAGCCTGTGAGCCAAAAGAAAAGCATCTATAAGCAAGATGCTGCTTCTTTTACGTAGGAGGTCCAAAATCAACAAAACAACACATACATCTAACAGTTTATCAACCACGCGCGCGCGCACAAAAAAAACACTCTAAATTATCTCTCGAGTATAAGGATTCTTAAAGCTCTTAGTAATACTCAGATAATTTGATGCTTGTCTTTGACATTTCACAGTACGAAATAATTTATTACCTCCCTGAAGAGAAATCTAAGTTTTTACTCAGGTCTATAGCAAATATAACACACAAGTAAACCGCAAGTAAAACCCAAACATGAAGTTTATGCATCCTCCTTGTTGACAAACCGCACGACACATTTTCTCACGAACGAAGGCGCAGAAGTAGCTGAATCGTATCAAACCATTTAAAGGCAAAGTTAGAAGATTCGGAATATAGCAACTTCATTCAAGAACAACAGGTAGCCTCCAATCTTTGAATCAACTTAAGAGAAGACAGCATTTTCAATGAAGGCAGTTGCAGTATCGTGTAATTCTATATAGAGGCAGGCTTAATTACGTAAGTGCTGTGTGATGTTATTAAACCTTTGGAAAAAAAAAGGGAAGAGAATCAATATTATGCAGTGGTAGGAACTAACTGAAGACCCCACGCATGCATCTGTAATTTTATCATCACCTTCCACCACTCTGTGATGAGCTTTGAAAAATTAACGTCTTGTTGAATTAAGAAAATATTCACGTGAAAATGTAAGGTAGTTCTTTTGCTAATTACTAGCTAGTCTTTTTGATATTTATCTATCAATAGATAGAAACCTGAAGGAACTGAACAGGATCTAACTCCTTGACAAACTCCTTGACAATAGTAAACCTGACAGGCGACACGACCTTTATTTACAAAACGCTAATTAAATTGCTCTGTGATTGATCATGGGAAAGTTGATACGCATTAAGACCCGCAGAGGGAATTCAATAGGTTCCATCCTGAAGCAGAATGATGATATAAAAGACATGAGATGAGCCCAATATGGCAATTTTCATTGAACTAAACTTGATTTGACTCTGAGCCATGTGAACATGTACATTTAGAAGTCCATTGTTTCAGACAAATCTTACTTCGAGATATAAGAAGAAGTTTTTAAATAAAATATTAACGAGTTCTCATTGTGCCTTCCTTCTTTTAAATATAAGAGGAAGAGCTTCCTTCCTTCTTTCCCTGGAGGTACATCGAGCAAAATTTGCTTCACATTGTGCCTCATTGCGTACCTAAGCCAAGGCACGGCCTTCGACGTATCGAACCCTTCCCTGCAACTCGCTTATCCTGTCTTGATTCTTGAAGCTGCGTGCCTTCCTTCTCTTTTGAGAAGCCTCTGCTCCCGTGATGATGATGATGCTGCTGCTGCTGCTGCTCTTCCTTTTTCTTTGATAGGTTTTCATGATTTGGTTTCGGTTTGTAGATGAAGTGAGAGGGCTCGGTGGCTTATTTATAGGCTGCGTGTTCCTGTTCGAATCCGTACAGGAGTAGGAATCCTAAAGATTGAAGGGTGGCTGAATTTTTGGAATAGAATCCGACTCCTAATGGGAAATTGGGAATCTAAGTTATGAGATAATAAAAGGAAATAATAGAAGCATATTTTTGAATCCGAACAAAATCCGAGACTCAGGTCTCGCTCAAAACTACACCCGATTTCGTATCATCACCTCCTTGACGTATTCCAGAAATGACTCCGCATTCTGGTTACCCTATGAGGTTGCTACTATCTATATAATCCCAACGAATGCTCACAAGCGTATTGTTTTAGCAAAACAGTCAATACTGATATTGTAGGATGATAACCATTTCATACCAAAAATGACGTCGAAGTTCGACATCCACAAAAACTGATATTGTAGGATGATAACCATTTCATACCAAAAATGACGTCGAAGTTCGACATCCACAAAACGACTAAGTAAAAGATGAACTCAAACTCATTTATACTGATGACACACCTCCTACATATACTCTCTAATAGGGACACCTCCCCTAGAGGAGTAGAAACTGATAACAGAACATCTAAGGGATGTGTAACTAATCTAATTGGACTCCAGACTCGGGTAGTTCTTTCAAGAGAAGAAAATAGTGAAATAAAAATAGACAGATCTCAAAACAGCGAAAGTATCGAACACGGAATTAAACGTGAACCAAAGGGAACTCAAACTATTGAAGTTTTTTTTCAATTATGTTTTCTTTGCTGGTATGCTTTCAATTTCTTTACAGAAGAATTTGAGTAGTGATAAGTACACAAGAATTATATTTAATCTTGTACCATTAGACACACCCCAAACCAAAAAAAAAAAAAACACTTTCTGTAAACTGAAGAGAGAATTTATGATCTCTTACATCTCTTGTACTTAGAATTTTCCAAAGAATTTTAGCAGTAGCCATTGGATCATGAAGAATGGGAAGAACGGGCATGGGCCGGTAGTACTCGGTACGACTGATCTCAATCCATTGCTTAAATTGTTCATCAAAGAGTTGTCTTCTCTTGAACGTGTATCAAGTAAGAAATACAGTGATAAACCAAGGCAAATAATAATAATAATAATAATAATAAATAATCTAAATTATCTCTCAAATACAAGGATTCTTTAAGCTCATAGACATACTCAAAGTCTTGACCTCAAAATTGCATAAGCTTGGATAGCTCTAAAAAAAGGCAATAAGAGTGTAGAATTATGAATTTGCTCCAGAAAAATAATAACAGACATTTGCCATTAGCACCAAATTTTTCAACCAAGTACTTTATCAGCATGGAAGACACAAGCACCGGTCTATAGTTACATTACAAAAATTTATTAACTTCTTGAAGAAAAATCTAAGTTCTTACTCAGGTCTTTAGCAGATGCAACACACAAGTAAACTGCAAGTAAAACCCAAACATGAAGTTTATGCATCCTCCTTGTTGACGAACTACACAATCTCACGAACAAAGGCACAGAAGTACCTGAATCAATCAACCATTTAAAGACAAAGTTAGAAGATTCGGAATATATGAACTTCATTCAAGAACAATAGGTGGTCTCCAATCTTTGATTCAACTTCTGAGAAGACAGCATTTTCAATGAAGGTAGTTGCAATATCATGTAATTCTATATTGAGACAGGCTTAATTATGTAAGTGCTTTGTGATGTTATTAAACCTTAAAAAAAAAGAGAATAGATACTATGCAGTGGTAGGAACTAACTGAAGACCCATGCATGATCTGTAATTTTATCATCACATTCCACAACTCTGGGATAAGCATTGAAAAATTAACATATTGTTGAATTAAAAAAATATTCACGTGAAAATGTCAGGTAGTTCTTTTGCTAATAATAGGAATCTCAGAAGGCTGGGACCTCGAGTACCCCACTCCCACCCCATTAATCATTATAAATACTAGTTTTTTTTTAATGACTGAGTAATAGTCTTTGAATAATTTATATATCATAGAAGCCCAAAGGAACTGAATAATTGATTGGTAGAGGGAAAAAATGATAAGTTAATACGATCCAACTCCTCGATAGTAAACTTGAGAGGTAATATGACATATATTTACAAAATGCTAAAAACTCTGTGTTTGGTCATGAGAAATTGATATGTGTTGAGACCTGCAGAAGAAGTTCAATCATCAATGGGCTTCCTGAAGCGAAACGATGATATTAAAACATGAGCCTAACATGGCATTTTCATTGAACAAACTTGATTCGACTCTGAACAATGTGAACATATTCATGCATGAATCCATGTGTTAGACAAATCTTGTTTCCAGACAAGAGAAGTGGTTTTCATTTAAATAATGAGTTTAAGAATCATAATAAATAAAGGGTAAATTACACTAAACACCCAAGAACTTTCAGCATTTTGAAATAAACCCCCAACAACTTTCAAAATCGCACTAAATTCCCAATAACTTTTGAAGAAAACCCCCAATATCTTTTGGGTAAATTACAGTGAACCCGCAACACCTTTCACAATGTCTTTTTAATTTTTTTTTGTTCTACATTATTGGGGTTACCTATAAAATGCAGAAACTCATTGGGGGTTTTCTGCAAATCCAAAAGTTCATGGGGGTTTAGAGTGATTTTGAAAGTTATGGGGGTTTACTACAAAACACTGGAAGTTCCTGGGGCTTCAGCGTAATTAACCCTAAAATAAATATCAAATGAAGAAATAAAATGCTCTGAACAGGATAAGTAAAATACAAAATGAATTACGAGAATTTGCAGGCAGCAAACACTGAAATGGACACAAAATTCTAAAAAAAATATGCACTATACGCGTGTCCAAATTCCAATACATGCCTCAGACATGCATGTAATTCTGTCTTGTTCACCTGTGTCCTCTGCTGTTGGTGCTTCATAGAATGGTAAAGAAAGTGCATCACATGAACAATGGGGAACAATAACACAATAAATTTCCAAGGTATATATAAAATGTAGACCTCTCTTTTCCGCAATTCACTATGACATTCTTCTTCTCCATGTTGTATGGTCAGTATATAAATGAAATACTATGTATCTGACAAAAACAAAAACAGAATTAAAAGATCAAATAAATCCATAACCTACAATCCAGAAAAGATCAGACTTGTAAGTAGGATCCCTTGAGAAGGTGAATTTTTTGTTATGTCGTTATAAGAACAGGAGAATTACAAGGTTGTAGCTGACACCAGACAGAGCATTCCTTCTAGGAACAAAATGACAGGGGCCATGGACTTGCCTCCTAATTGAACAAACTCTCGAAAAAGAGATGCAGAAAACTTTTAATGGACTGAATGAACCAGTTTAAGGATGTCCTGAAATTGTATGTCCACTATATCATCTCTATTCATTTCAGAAACAGAAGATCCAGTTAACCTTCTCTCAACCTTTTGATGAGATGATGGATTATTTCTTCAGCTGCACAAATTAATACTTGAAACTGTGTTGTTTACACAAAATCACTATCGGAAATTGGAAGCATTGTGTGTTGTTAAATGTCAAGTCAGAGTCTTTTTTCATATCTAGTACATATTCTAAGATCATTTCGCTTCAATTGTATACATGAGTTGTTCTACACATCCTTCATGTCCCAAACAATTGGGTAGACTGTTTCTATTCTGCATTTGGCTAGGGGTTAAGTGAGGGCTTAAATGAGTTTAAACATTCACTAACCCTCCAAAGTGGTTATTTCAGTCAAAGGGTTAACAAACCCCTGACAAGGATTAAGTTTGTTTAATCCCTCACCTATAGGGGGAGGGGTTTACTATTCCATGTGAGAAGATGGAGTAAGAGTTCTCCGCCTTTTCACGCAGGGCTACACAGGGGTAGATGTAGGAATTTTATAAGATCCTTAAAGAATCTTATACTATTATCACTATAGTAACTAATTTTCGGTTTGTATAGAAACTATTAAGGGTATATATAGCTCAGTCAAATGTTCTAGGTCCTCCATGTTTGCGTTCATGAGCACTTTTTGTTAACATGTGATTATGTTGAAAATATATTACTATATATGCCATCAATTTTAAGACATGTCTGTGCCAATCTTTGTTCCACTAACGTTTGCATATAAAACAATTAAGTTCCTGGTATTATATATATGTTTTTGAATTATTGTGCAAATACCAAACTCTAGTCTGATACTATGACAATTTTACGATAGGCTCAAAACTGAGCAGTATTAAAGATTATCATTTCTGCGTATTCAATCTTGTTAGATCACTATATCCCTTTAAATTTCATTTTTTTGCAAAAAATGTTAATTTATTTTTATTTGTCTTATAAACAGTGACCTAATTAAATAATACAAAAAATAACAATACTTTTATAGTTTAGATGAATGCAAATTCAAGTTCATTCTATTTAACATAGTTAGATATTCCTATTTTCAACAAGGTTAAAGTTAGTATTTTTAAAAAAATTAGGGGGATTAACCTCCTTAACCTTTGTTTATTTGGCAAACACAAAAAAATTTAAACCTCCATCATAACTATCTAATCAAAAAGGAATTAAAGAATTTTTAACCCCTCGTGATAGGTTAACTTAGTTAAACCTTCTCCCTTAACGCCTTGCCACACGGCACCTTCAGAAATTAATTGTGCTCTGAACAAGTATGAATTTGATCAATTAAGTCTCTCCAATAAAGTCGTCAGATTTGTGGCCTTTCCTAGAGGTTCTGCACTTTTACTCTTAATAGGAAGCTCTACAAAGACCAAACCCTCATAAAATACAGGGTGGAGATGGAGAGGATTCTGTGGGTCATTCTCCAGTCAGCAACTACTAGATGCACAAAGGTAAAGACCACAAAACACAGTAATAAGAAACAATATACAAAAGAGGGATATCCCTATTAGAATTTTCCTTTCATCCTCACTTGTTTTCTTCTTGTTCTTCCCTTCATGACTCTAGTGAGTCAATTTTCTTGTGCCTCTTTTTTTTTTCTTTCTCCAACAAAATAGGGAAGCTTCTAACTAATCGATTGCCGATATGCGTGCTATACAATATCCTCCTATCTCTTTTAGGATGTCTTGTATTTACTTGAAGGCAGGCATTTTATAACATCCACAAAATTATGATGAAATATTCAATATATCGAACAAGGATGTTGAAGCCCTATGCTAGATGACACCAGGATTTTGGCATCCACTATGTCAGAAAATTGAAAGTGTCATCTGCAATAATTACTTACCCAAATCTTATAGCAAGACTTATTTGAATTAAGGCTATTGTTTCAACGTGCGGCTTTTAAAAAAAAGAACGGCTATGCATATACTGTACATTTTGCTCCCATCTCATTTCCGAGGATAGATTCTGTTGCTTGAATACTATGTACAGCCTGCACCAAATCGTGATGAAATATCCACCACGATTCTGATATTCCCCAAGTTAGAATATCAAAGATGTCATCTTTAGTAATAATTTACCCTAATCTCATGCCCAACTAATATTTAAAAAAAAACACAAACGAGTTAAATCTTGAGATTTCAATAACTATGCTAATCTACTGATTGAATTAAAAAAAAGTGAAAGAGGAGGGAAAGAAACTAACAGTTGGATTAGGGTTTGGTGGAGGTGGTCGGCTCGTCGGCGAGGAGATCATCGTAGGGATCGCGGCGGCCGGGGACCTGGCTGATCTGAGCGTCCCATGAGAGCTGAGCGTTGAAGCGATCGAAGGTCCAGAATCCGTACGGGCGAATGGGGAGGCTCCAGTTCTCCTTCGTCTTCTTGCATCGATCCTTCATCATGTAGATGTGCTCCCTCGCCTTCTCGTCCCTCTGCTTTGGATCCTCCATTAGTCGAAGGATCAAGTTCTCTGCGAACTCCATCACAAACTTCATCGTTGATGCTTTTGCTCGCTCTTCGCTCGCTATCGCCTTACTTTTATCGGTCGCCTACAGCGAAATTTGGGGATTTGAAGGAAAATTTGCAACAAGCCCTTTTAACTTTTACTGCTTAATTCTAAGTCCAGTACAGTCACGTAGAGACCTGCCGAGCCTGCTAACACTGCTGGGCCAGGCTATGAAGCTGGGCCTTGGCAATCTTGCTTGCCCAACATTAATTATATCTTGCTTATTTCTCGTTTCTAATTTGTATTTTCTTTTCTTTTTAGAATATGAGCTGTCCTTATTGATTACTTAGGTTATAATCAATGAGGATTGGAGTTGAAGATTATGGAAATTCCATGATCTTATTAGAGAAAATATATAGTTGTTTGGTGTGTCCTACAAGCATATGTTATTAATACATTGCTTTCTTCTCCAAAAAGTTTGGGGAAAATGATATCCACAAATATTTATAGGTTTTTTTTTTCACCTGAACCACCCTGAAATTTTCAGGTGTTACATGAAAACCACCTTCAAAATTCAACTTATACGGAAACCACCTTTTTACTGGGATTCTGATTGCAATCAACTACCTTGACCGATTTTTGTGACAAGAATTTGTCTAAGTTCCCAAAATATCATTAAAATACATGTGCTAGGCACATGACGTGTACTTCTTAATCAAACTTAGTGTCAGGCGCTTATTTTTTTAAGGGTGTTTAAGGAACAATAGTCAAATTATCATCACAAAATAGGTCAAGGTGATTGATTGCAATCGGAACCTACTCTAAGGGTGGTTTCTGCATAAGTCGAACTTAAAGAGTTAGGAGGCGGTTTTCATACAATCACCCTAGTTTAAAAGTGGTTTCTATGAAAAAAACTAAACAAAACAATATGCATTGCGTGTGCAATTAGTAATACCACACAGCTCTAATTGTGCAAGCACAATATGCACAGGAAGTTCAGGAGCACTCTGGGGTGTAAAGACCACCTAAGTAGCATGTTCTATTAAAGATCATCATTATCTAAATCTAAAGTATCTTCCAAGCAAAATGAGGTCAACTATGAAGCAGGAATTCCATGAGAGATCTGCAAAGATTTTCTGGGTATCTAGCTTTTGGACTATGAAACTATTGACAAAAGATTGCTGTCATGTTTCAACAAGTCCCAGGAGGAAAAAAGGTTTATGTCTTGGCATAGAAAATTATATTACAGGTTTGAGGGCAAGAGACAGGCTGAACACAATCCCAAATTGTTTATTAATAAAGCTTGAGTTGAATCAAAATCCTCCTCTTTCTTGTAGGAACTTTTGTCCTTTTTTTTGAGTAATCAATGCTTGCACTCACAAGAAGCACAACCACCTCATGAGATTTCTAAGGTTTCAGTTCCTATTTACCTCCTAAATTATTAAATTTGTCACCGTATTCTCCCAAACTATTTTCATTTTTATCTTATCCTTAAGCTATCAATTTTGTCCCACTTCACTTCTGAGATATGTTTACCCCCATCTTACCCTTGAACAATCGCTTTTCCTTATACAAATCGATTTAAAATATTCATAAAATAATAAATTAGAATGGGTGATTAGGTATTGGAAACGATACATCAAGGGGTGATGTGAGGCTGAAAAAAGTCCAGAGGATAAACGAGAAATAATTTAATAGTTCAGAAATATCGGCAAGCAGTATAAAGAGAGAAATCTAATAGTTTAGAGGACTAAGTAGGGGCTAAACCAATTTTTTAACTCAGCATCTCTCCAACCAATGAAATGAGGCCAGAGAGCTATGTTTGTCTTCAGTGGCATTGTCAATTGGGTGTCCTTTTCTTCCCCTTGTCCTTTAAGATAGCACTAATAAATCCCATTTCTAAGCAAAGAGGTCTACGCTATGATCATGAAGCCACTTAACCCTATTGTGCTAGGGTTATTAATTTCATATTATATGACATGTCTCTTTAGTTTGAAAGCAATTTTCAATAGCCTAAGTGGGCATTTTTTTTGTAATGGTATTTTTTTTTCCTAAACATTTATTTTAAATAAAACTCTGATGGGCTTGGAATCTGCAATGACTCACTCTTCCATTAAAAATTTCGAAAGTTGTTATGTTCATTGTGAGTTATAATTATGTACTAATCTAACACAGGCTGAAAGAATTTTTCATGCCGAGCTCTCATCCTCAGTAAGTTTTTTTACTTGGAAGTTAAACCCATCACATATTACGTCACATATTTAAACCCATCACATTTTGCATTCCGTTGGAAAGTTAAATTTAGACCTGCATCCAGCTAAAAACTGCAAGTTTTAAAGAAAGGAATGCTTAGATTGCAAAGGTCTGAGCTTCCCAAGGTGGGACTGTTTTGGAAAAATGTTTTCACCGGTATATTTACACCACATTTGAGCTTTAAATTTCTAAATGATGCTCATAGAAATGACTCGAACAAGGCGACATAACCTCCTCCTCCAACATCTGTAACACCCTGCTCATAGTTGGACGGTCGTCTGGATTAGCATCAGTGCACATAGCAGCGATATCAAGGATTGCCTCCACTGCTTCAGCATCTACATTCCCACATCTCTCGTCGAGAATTTCCTCCAACATGTTATCTCCCACCATTGTGTTCATCTGCAAACAAAGGAAACCCCTCATTTGATATCACGAGTAAAAGAAATTAAGAAATTGAGAGCTATCAGAAGTACGGGTGTGTTTGGTTAAGCGTAGCTGGAGTTACAAATGCATTTGCAATGGCAATGCTGTTCCAACAACTACGTTTGGAATGGTTAGAATATAAAATTGTAACCCTCAACTCTCCCCACAATTTTGGAGTTTTCATGTAGTGACAGTCTCTTTAAGATGGTATCAGAACAGCTCAGATTCAAATTCTACAAGCCATGAATAGCGGATTTTAAAAAGAATTAGAACCCTTGTGTGCATCTATATTTTGGCCCATAAGAAAGGGCGTCTCAACTTGCAAGGACATATTAGAATATAAAAATTATAGCTCTCAACCCTCATCAGAACTTCAGAACTTCAGAGTTCTGGTGTAGTGTCAGAGTCCTTCACGTGAAACAAACCTCAAGTTGCACGCAACAACAATCCCTGCTCTCCTTGAGCCATTTTGATTTTCAGTAACTTGTACAGGTTGCACCAAATTGGTGAATCCCTAACCAAACACACCCCAAAAATCTAAAGAAACTGAAAGTAATTACTTACCCATCCTACAATATTGAGTCCTCTCTTGACAAAGCATGGATCCGTAGGCCTCTTTCCAGTTATCAACTCTAACAAGAGCACACCAAAGCTGTAGACATCAGATTTCTCAGTTGCATGTCCATTGTGCAGGTATTCTGTCGATAACAACAAAATTAGACACTAAATAAAGAAGGTCATAAAACTAGAAACTCCGCAATACAAGATCAGAAACGTAACAGACCTGGGGCTAAGTAGCCAAAAGTACCAGCTACCACAGTTGTGACATGAGAATCACCATCAACGAGGAGCTTGGCTAGGCCAAAATCAGAAACATGAGGCTCCAGGCTTCGGTCAAGGAGTATGTTGTTGGATTTAATGTCTCGATGCACAATTGCAGGAGAGCAATCGTGGTGCAAGTATGTTAAACCTCGGGCTGAGCCCAGTGCAATTTTCATTCGAGCATTCCAGTTCAAGGGCTGCTCTTCTTGATCATATTCTGAAATTAAAATAGGGAAGAAAGTTGGTATATAAACTTAAAAGATTTTATATTAGCAGAAATTAATGCCAAGCTTGTTATACGATAATCAATCTATGTAGGAGGAGAATTTTGTAGAAGTAATCACAAGGACATGGATAACTGAAGTAGGCTTAGAGCAGACTAATATAAAGACTCATCTTAAACACTGTTTGTTCTACACACATGTTAATGCTGAATGCTGGAGTTGCGATGAGGTCATTATTTTACACTGTAACAGATTGTATGAAATTCTACAGCCTATTTGTCCTACATACATGATGGTCAGCAATTTTGATGACCATAATTGATGTATTTGACCAAGTGATTTACATCTTAGAGGTATCTTACTTTAATATGCTTAGACAGTGATAAACTGCGTGGATCCTCAACTGCTGCAACGCACAATATATCTAGAATCTTTTCTTGAGGTTGCAACCAATAAATTAAGGATTTTAGTTTACACGCCACAAGTCATCATGCTAAAATTGTTAAATATTTTGTTAACAAAAGGCAATTTTGCCTTCATGAATTATAATAAATATTGTAATTAAAACATGCAATTAAAATATGTGTAACGGATATATAATTATGGGGAACGTTACAAAATTTATGACGAACGTTACAGAATTAATTACGGGTTTTGTAACGTCTTTTCCAACCCTATATATATATCCATATGTTGAGCTCAAAATAATAAGGAAAATATACAACAAGTTTCTCTTGTTTTTCTTCTCTCCCCTACATATTATTTTCATCTACATTTTAGTTTTATTTTATGGGCAACTTCCTTCATCTGAGCTGAAGCTCTGCACTCTCGCCCGAGTGTACAGGCCGGCCGTTTTCGGGGGTTTTTACCGCTAGGGGGGAGGGAACCATCTGCGCTAGGGCGATAGGCGGGTTCTCAATCTTCTAGGGCAGTGAATACACGACTGCTCCCGTTCATGCCTGAATTTCATACCTCTTGTTTATTTTAATTTCGGATTTATTTCATGCTATAATCTTAATTTATTTGATAGATTGACAACAATCTAGAAGATTGATTATATAACTGTTGATTTATTAAATCCGAAATAAGTTTATCTATAATTAATTGCTTTTAATTATTGCTGAATAATTTCTGTTAATTCGAAAAAAATAGTTAAAAGTTACTGTTCATCAACATTACTGTTCATCGAAAAATAATAATAATCTGTTTTGATATTGTTCGTCTAATATGATTAATTGTAGCTACTTTCATTTGGTTATCTATTAAATAGCTATTAGAAAATAAAAGGTACTGTTCACCAGAACCTTATTTTACTATTCACTTGGGAAAAATACAATTAAAAAAAAAATATTGTGCATCCACGAGATTTGCTGTTACCATTCTTTATGGTTCATCGTACATGTATATTAAACATTACTGTTTATTAAAATTGTTACTGTTCATCCAAAATAACCTTAAACATGTAATTAATTGCTTTAATTACTGTTAATTACTGCATTTATTGTATTTTTTTTTAATTGTTGATAATTATTGCTTAAATAATTACAATTAATTGCAACTTGTAGTTGATTTTATAATTAATTGATAACAGATCGCCAATTTAAGTACAAAATGAGGTTACCTCCACTATATGTTGTTAAGGAGGAATTATTTCTCTGTTCAAAATTTTTTTTTAAAGAAAATATGCTCTGTATTTGAATGTTGATGATCACCAATAAATAATTTGAGCTTTTAATACTTATTTATGTTTGAAAGTCTCGTATGCATGGTTTTGACAAGAATAAAGAAAACAAAATAGATGCTTTGAAATATCTGGATTTGTTCATGGTTCAATATGGTGCCTTCTATTAATAATTCCATACTTTAGTGTATTTATGCATCTAATAAGCTTAGTACAGAAGGTGGTAAAAGTGAATGCAGATTTGTTCAGCAACTTAAGTGGCAGCTGTCTGCAGCAGATGAGTTTTACTCTCAAGACATGAAAATCATGAGGTTCGAACATCAATAGGTAAACCCCTCCTCGGCCTTATCCATCATATGTTTGCAGTATAATTGCTAGGCAATTTAAATGATTGCAGAAAATAATTTAAAGTTTCTATATACTGTTAAGGAACAAAAACTCATTGAGTGAACCGATTCAAGTTTTCTTGGATTAGTTGGTGTCTAAGGCAAGGTTTAAGGGTTGCGTAACGCGCTCTGCAAGGAACGAGGTACTTAATTGATCTTTGATCAACCTCTATTACTATCCTTACCTGGCTAACTACCCGAGTAAAACTTTAATCTTTTCACTTTAGGAGTTTTTGGTTTGGAATAAGAGGACCGGAATTATGAGAACAATTCATATGCATTTATTTAATTACGCTTCTTGCATCATATATTGCCTAATGATAAATGATCAATATATGAGCGAACCAAATCAAAGAGGTGCATTTTTTAAAATTCTATTTTATATGGTGGATTATATTTCAAATCTTCAAATGTAAAGTTCATCTCTTTTATTGCGTTATGATGGATATTGCAATAAATGTTTATATGTTCTTTTAGATAACTTACATTTGTTACATGATTAATTACAAGGTTTTATGCAAGAATGCACTTGTAAAATTTAAAGCACGTATGTACAAATATTATTATTATTATTATTTGTATAAGAGGTGGTACTAGAAAATGGCAACATAAATTTGGAAGGTCTCCTTTGTAGACAACCAATTTAAATTTGGAAGGTCACATTTGTAGGCAACCAATTTGTAACCTCTTATAATAGAAGAATTTTAAAAATTTTATGCATTTGAATTATGAAGTATGAAATGTATTTTAAGATACGAAAATATTTTTTAAGATACAAAATCCTATTATGCTCTGCATGTATCTATTATTAATTTCATTCATGTATGTGCATATGCATAACTGCAGAATTTTTAGTTCCACATTAGTTTGAAATGTTCAGATATTATGGTCAATCTCTTCAGACATAGACTATGATCTTTTATGATCATAGATCATGACCTAATGTCAATTTCAAACAATATGATGGAGTAATTACAAAATAAGAACTTGATAAATAAATACAACGCCTGCTAGGCAAAGTTATGATTCTAGACTTTGTAAAGTCTGTGAAAAGAATCTTGATGACCCTTTGACTAAGGGATTATCCAGGAGTGTGATTCTGGATTCATCGAGGGAGATGGGGTTAAGCCCATAGATGAGGTCACTGACAGCGGCAACCCAACCCTTATTTGGAGACGTAGTCCCAATGTCGGTTCAATGTGGTAGAAACAAGCTGGACAAGTGACTCTCGTGTGGAGCATCGACCTAGATATATTTATATATCATTATGTAGCATTTGCTACTACCCCTTCTCTATGATGACGATGCTCTTATGATACAGCTGGCTAGGCTGAGTTTTACTCTTAATAAGTCCAACGCGTGTATTGTGGGGGGTATTAAATAAACAGCTGTAGTACCCTTTGAGGACTTACCTACGTGAGAGGAACCGTGATGGCCGCGGTTAGGGGGGGCTGGGCTAACCCCTAGAAACTCTCATGAGTCGGTTTATTGTGAGCATGGCCTTTAACGCTCAACCCGCTTTGCTCAATAGATGAAGCGTATTGTGTGTGTTTTCATCAATACCTGATTAAAGGGGCCTAATTCAAGGCCTAGTCCATTATGTCCCTCAGGTGGCGATGAACTCACTAAGGAAAGGTTCAAAGCTGAAAGCTACCTCTCCCGAATTCACGATACGAAAGGTTGCCCAACCTATATTTGTTTTATGATTTCTTGATTTATTAATTGATTTCTGAGTCTTCAGTCAATATTGCCTTTTGGGGGGGACTGTTAGATATTTTGTTAACAAAAGGCAATTTTGCCTTCATGAATTATAATAAATATTGTAATTAAAACATGCAATTAAAATATGTGTAACGGATATATAATTATGGGGAACGTTACAAAATTTATGACGAACGTTACAGAATTAATTACGGGTTTTGTAACGTCTTTTCCAACCCTATATATATATCCATATGTTGAGCTCAAAATAATAAGGAAAATATACAACAAGTTTCTCTTGTTTTTCTTCTCTCCCCTACATATTATTTTCATCTATATTTTAGTTTTATTTTATGGGCAACTTCCTTCATCTGAGCTGAAGCTCTGCACTCTCGCCCGAGTGTAGAGGCCGGCCGTTTTCGGGGGTTTTTACCGCTAGGGGGGAGGGAACCATCTGCGCTAGGGCGATAGGCGGGTTCTCAATCTTCTAGGGCAGTGAATACACGACTGCTCCCGTTCAGGCCTGAATTTCATACCTCTTGTTTATTTTAATTTCGGATTTATTTCATGCTATAATCTTAATTTATTTGATAGATTGACAACAAAAATAGCTTGTGAAAGCTTTCACATATCAAATATTATATTTTTGTTTTGTTTTCTTGGCATTTTAGATTTTATGAATCATAGTTAACATGGTGCAGGACAAATTCTACTGGACCAAGAGGTACTTGTTATAAGATTTGCTTTCTCAATCTGATCATTTCAACAAAGAAGAGAAGAAAAATGGCATGGAGCACAAATACAGGTAATCATATAATAGCTTAAGTTCATCAGAAACCAGTTCTTTTCAAGTCTATAATATGTTAATGGAGCTCAGGTTCCAGTGAAAAAACAAATGCTTTTTTCATCAGAAGAATATAAGAAAAAAATCAGATTGAAGGACTAACCATGGAGATAACGGTCTAAGCTGCCCAGTTCCAGGTAATCATATATGAGAAGTTTCGCACAAGGAAGCTTACAATAGCCTCGTAGATGGACGAGGTTAATGTGTTTGATGCCACCCAATATGGCAAGCTCTTTCTCAAAATCTTGATTGCAGCTTTCACGGTTCCTATCGATCTTCTTCACCGCAAATGCACACAAGTCATCCATGACCATCTTATAGACTGTCCCAAAGCCCCCAGACCCAATAATATCCTCTTCATCAAGTAAGTCCAGCTTTTTCATGATCTCTTCAGATGAATATGGAAGGTCTCCACGAAATGTTACAAGCTTAGAACCTAAAAGGAATGGTTAAGTTAGAAAAAGCTGCTGTATCCGGAAGATGGTTAGATTCAAACTTACCGATATCCTGAACACGTTGTTTATCTACTTTTATGTATTTTTCGCCCACCTTGCCCTTTCTTGAGAGTAAACAGACCCAAAGTAACCCGAGGATAGCAACTAACGCCACTCCCATGGTTGACATAGCACCAATCATTAGCCCATTCAGAAAATGAGATGTTTTTCTTGTGGGCATTGGTTGGATGTCCGATGTTTCAACTGAGGGAGATAGAGAATAATTTTTTTTAAGTCTGTAAATAATGCTACTGAGAGTTTAACGGACATTAAATGATTGTACAAGGTCAAGGAGGAATCGTGCCTGGAGTTGAAATAGTCTCTTGATGGGGAAGAATTGCTGGAAAGCCCAATGTACCCCGACATAACTTGTGGATTGGAAGGCCGCAAAGCTCAAGATTTCCAACAAACCTGCAAGAAATTAGCCTCCTTAGAAATGCCCAGATCCTATATAATGAAACCCAATAAGAAATAGAATGGAGCCTCAAGTAACAAGATAGGAACAAATTACAAACATTTTATAATCATCTTGTTGTAGATCCAACATGTTTTATGGTCTAAAATCCTATCAGAGTAAACATTTATCCGATCAAATGTGCTGAGGGGGAAGAAGAAACGACTTACGAGCTGTTTCTGAAAGTGCCAAGGACTCCAACATTTGGGATTTCACCAGAAAAGAAGTTGGTTGATAAATTACTGAAATCGAAATGCAACATTTATTGTCATGAATTGAATAAGGTGAGGGGGGAAACAGCACCAGGTCAATGGAACTCACAGGAATCTCAGACGAGTGAGCTTGCCAATTGAAGGAGGTATTCTTCCCTGGAGTAGATTGCTTGACAAATCCCTACATATTCCACATTAAACAAATCAAAACCCAACCTTCAAAAGAGAAAAGAGAAGGAGGGGAAAAAAATTTAAAACACAGGATAGAAAACGCACAATATGGTGAGCTGAGTGAGCTCTCCGATTTCATGCGGAAGGCCTCCTTGTAGGTAGTTTGCTCTCAAATACCTTCACAGATAAAAAATATGCACATCAAAATCATTGAATCAACTAAAAAAGATTGGGAACTCAAGATGAAAGGATAAAAGGGCAAAGATTATATACAGTGCTCTGAGCTCAATGCAGCTCCTAATCTCAGGAGGAATCGACCCATGCAGGCTATTCTGATGCAGAGCCCTTCACCAGGAAATAATAATAATAATGATAATAAGGTGACAAGGTAAGATCTTTAATCAAATTTCAACGTCCCACGTCAAAAGTCGAAGTGGGTATATTAGTTCAAAGGAGCTCACAGTCTCTGAAGCCTCTGAAGCTTCCCGATGCTCGGCGAAATAATGCCCCCGAGCTGCAAATATGGAAGATTTCTACAGAGGAAGGGAAAAAAAGAGTAAAGAGCCAGGGGGGTTAACAAAAATCTTACCCAGAAAAAGCAGAAGAGCTAGCGAATGTACATACATTGATCGAACCCGAAGATCGGGGAAATGGCGATGCTCTCCAGCTACTCAGCATCCGCTTGGTGTCGTTGAAGCCCTCTTTTAGCTCGAGCAACGCTTGTCCTGAGGGAGCAAAAAAAAAAAAAAAACAAGGGGTGAAAAAAGACATAAAAAGTAAGAGATGGGAAGAAGAGAACGCAGGGCAAATGGGTAACTTCGCAAGTTATACCATCAGGGGTGAGTGCTGAGGATGGGGAGGAGAAGGGTGAGACGAAGAAGAGGGCGGTGATGGCTAAAACCCAGAGGCCCATTGAGAGAGAGAGAGAGAGAGAGAGAGAGAGAGAGGGAGGGCTGGGGTTGGCTGTGATGGATGAAGAAAAGGGAAAGTGAGCGAGGGGAGAGTGTGGACTACAGAGAAGAGAGGTGCTTTATTAATTAATTATTTAGCTGCAGGGGGCGGGGGGCCTAGAAACCAGAGACAGAGGAAAGAGAAGAGGAAAACAATTTTCATGGGGAACTGTGCTCTGTTCTCAAAGGGAGTAGCCGTTGAAAAGGGTGCGTGGCTCTGTACTTCTCACGTGAGAAGGGGGTGAGGGGAGAGGGAGGCGAAGTGCGAGGCTGTCAGATTGGCGACTCTCCCACTCGGGAGTCGTTATAAAATGAGTGGAACTAACCTCCTTCTTTAGTTCTAAAATTGAAAATTGTTATCAAAATAGAATCAAATTTTGACTCTTAGACCCATTTAGCTCCAGATCGCACCTCTCGTGGCCTGGAACTGCAACTGATTTTGGCTAGAACTGACTTGAGGGAGAGTTCTCTTCATCCAAAATCAGTTTAGTTTTGGATCAAGAGAGACGGAACAGCGAAACAACTTTAAGGCTAAATTTGGCGCTCAAAAACTAGCTCATAGTCTTGGATTGCCAAACTTGATTTAATATTGAACCAATTTTTTTTAAAAGAAATTAATGGGTATCCTTGTCGTAGGAGAGGATTTCCTCCTTGACGTCTACGTGGCACAATCCCCACCATCCTCATAAAGTAGGCACAAATCCCCACCAACTCACACACTCTCTCCTACTTTATGTCACGTAGGCGACAAGTAGGGAAAAATCTCCTCCTATGACAATGATACATGTTAATCTCTTTTTTTAAAACTAATAAACTTGTTTAAAGGAGTCTTCTGCTTGGTATGTCATAATGAATTGTTGTTGCAGTTGTATGCAACTTAGACATTTTGGGACGATGTTTGTTGTTTATTTTAGCGGCAATATGAATGCAGTTACACGATGTTTGTTGCAGAAAGGAAGTGTTGGCTAACAGGGACCCCAAAATTAGGATAGGTAAGGGGACAGGTGAGGTTGATACCTCACACGTCCCACTACCTTTCCCATTTTCTGGGTCCTTCTAGCATTTTTCTTGTAGAAAAAATGACATTTCGCATTTAACAACTTACACACGTTCAAACACAAGTCACCATTGTAAACTTCCTAAGTAATAAATAAATTACAACGCCAATCATGAAAATTGCCAGGAAAAGTATTAATATATGGATTTTTCTATAAAGTGCTCATGGACACTATAAGGGCCTGTTTGGTTCGTTTCCTTCACTTTCTATAGATGACTTTTCTTCACTTTCTTGTGTTTCCTTCACTTTCCTAAAAAATGTTTCTTGTGTTTGTTTCGCCCAAAAATATGTAGTGAAAGTACTTTCCATCATTTTCTAGTGTTTGGTTCAACTTGAAAAAAAGAAGAAAATAATTGATGTGTGAATAAATTCCCTCATTTTCTAGTGTTTGGTTCAAACTAAAAAAATCAAGAAAACTTGATTGTGGTCACCATGGTAAGATTACCACCCATCATCATAGTTGTGCTCAGAAAATTAAAACAAAGGCCAAGCATCAACATGAAACCAAAGGCCAACCATAGCTGACCAACAACACATAATAGTACCAAGAGCTGAAACCAAGGCAGAGAGTACAATAAACCTGCACAAATTTGAAATAAAGGCCAAGCTTCAACTGAATCCGAAGGCCAACCATAGCTGACCAACCAAAGGCCAAGCAAGAGCTGAAACCATTGCAACCATGGCCAACCAAAGGCCAACACAAAAATTTAGGGTCCAAGGGCCAAGCAACAAGAGGCTGCAACCAAGGAAAGCACACACCTGAACATGAATCATCACATGGAAACAGCAAACCAAACAACCAACATGAAAACAGCAAACCAACACAACCAAGAGCTGAAACCAAGGCCAACTGGAACACAAATTCAGACTCACCAAAAGCCAACACAACAACTTAGCTCCAAAGACCAAGCACCTGAAACCAAAGGCCAACTGAAACACAAATTCAGACTCACAGAACTGATCAACCCAGTCACATAAAGCATGAAAATAGGCTAACAAGAGCCAAGCTGAAAATGAGGCCAAGCTGAAACCATTGCAAAAATCCAGGCTCACCATTGCAACATGTCAGGTACACAATGGAAACCACAAAAAAGCACAACTGAAACAAAGTCATAGCACTTTGTTTGGGCCAAAAAGCTAATAAAATGGGAGTATGATATCTGACACAGGAAAATGAGGCCAAGCAACATGTCAGGTAGTATAACATAAACCACAAGAAAGCACACAACTGAAATGAATCACAAATCTAGACTCACCAAACCAAAGGTCAACCAAAGGCCAACACAACTATTTAGGGTCCAAGGGCCAAGCAACAAGAGGCTGCAACCAACCAAAAAAACACACCTGAACATGAATCATCAACATGGAAACAACAAACCAAACAACCAACATGGAAATAGCAAACCAAAACAACCAAGAGCTGAAACCAAGACCGAGAGGAGGTTGAAACCATGCTGACCAAGGGCCAAGCAACATGAGGCCAAGCTGAAACCATTGCAACATTATAGGTACACAATAGAAACCACAAAAAAGCACAGCTGAGCTCAAGGGCCAACCAACCAAGAGAATGGAAATCAAACCAAAGCTCAAAAGAAATTATAGAAAATGTGCTCAGAAAAGGCTCTTTCTTCATTATATGCCACGTCATGAAGTTTATAATAGCAATGTTGGCTGCATTTACTGCCTCGCCAATTGATCACTAGTATAAACTTTAGCTGCATATCTTCAACATTGAAGTCCATCATCATAACACAAAATATGCATACCTCTTTAACTTTAATTCATTGAGGGGAAATCATTATAGAACCCTACTTGTAAAACCTGTCAAACACATAAAGCATTAGCATACCAAGTTTACATAACAACCATTTCAATCAATTTCCCAAGCCACACAACTGAACATTTGCTGCAAATTCATACTGCTTGCACACAACTGAAAGTAGACAGAAAGCACACAACTGAAAGTAGACAGAAAGCACACAACTGAATCCAAATACTCCTATTTGCAGATAATCAAACTATTTAATCAAAATACAAACGTCGCACTAGAAATATGTAGGATACTCTCATTCCATCAAGGTGAAATCATTCACCTTGATCCTCTTACAATAATGAATTTATCATCTATGCTTGCTTTATTTTGAGAGATATAAGTTGCAAAATTGATTTCTCCAACGCATCATATGAGAACAAATCAGATAACCATACAAGCTCATACTATTAATAATTTCTATGAGATATACGTTGCAAGGATTATACATATCAAATTAAGACTAGTTAGATAAGCTATTAATAATTTCTACAATCAAAATTTTCAAATAATAAATAGATGTCTGCATACGAAAATCTCAAAAAACAACCAATACATGACATGCAAACTGGAAAAATACACAGAATAATCACCAGTAAAAAATTTTACCTTCCTAGTGGCAGAAAGCAGAGAACTGTAGTCAAACTACAGATTTGAAGTCGTTTTGCAAATCGTAGTGGTAAATGGTGGTCAAAATACCCAAACTCAGACAAATTTTAAACCTGGCATCAAAGGAAGAAGGAAATTGATAAATGAAAGCCATAAAAAATTAAATAAATACAAAAGATTTGATTTTTACCACTGTACCTCCATAAATCAACCAAGATCTTGTACTGTTTTCCCTTTTGTTCGAAGGCTAGGGTTTCAATCGGCGTCAGACAGCAATCGGAGAGCGGGAGAGAGAGAAGGGCGGGAGCGGGAGAGAGGGGCGGGAGCGGGAGAGAGGGGTAACCAGAACGAGTGGAAAGGGGAAGAGCAATCGAAGATTTTTGTACGGGAGAGAACAAAGAGGCGTTTTCCGCTGTAATCAGCCGTTTTCGAGCGGAAAATGGAAGGGCGAAAAAGCTGTCAGAAAGCCCGCACGTTTATTCACTTTCTTTTTTTCTTTTTAACGAAGCAAACACCCGATTGTGAGGGGAAGTAACAAATTTACCCTGTGTCAGTTTTCCCAAAGGCTATTTTCCCTCATTTTCTGTATTTTTTGGCCGAAACAAACAGGCCCTAAGAGAGAAGAGAGAGAGAGATAATTGGGGAGGGGATCCCAATACAAATCAGGTGGGCCCCATCCTCAATCATCTCTATCTATCTCTCTCCTCTTCTATTGCCCATGGGCACTCTATAGAAAAACCCTAAATATATTTGATGCTTCAAAACCAATACTTACAATTAGAGTCACAAAATCGTAAAATTTTTAAACTAAAATACTTCTACAGTTGTATGCAATTAGCATTTTTATAATCACGCTGCAATAAACCAAACAATTTGCAAGTATGTCTTAGTGGGTTTGCGTGAAGCCCAAATGTTGGAATTTTCAGGTCCAAATTGGAGTCGCGTGTCATTAACGATCATGGAGAGTATTTCTCATCTTTGGTAAAACTACGCCAAAATTTTTAAACTAAAAAAAGGCATACTGCACGTAGGGAACTTTAGGCTATCTGAATGGTTGAGAAGTTTTAATATCTGGAAAAAAAAAGTACGCTGAACAAAGTAAACTATTTTACATACCAAATTTAACAAGTGGAACTTGAATGTTTGCTTCTGCAATAAAATGAATGAATAGTCATAAAGAAAGAAAAACATGAGATATGGCTTTCAATTGAAAGCGGTTTGTAATAATGTTCAATAGAGGGTGACAAGGTAGGACATAGTACTGACTGGAAATTGAAAACTGTGTATGATCATAATCAGATGCTTGAAGATTTGAACAGATTTTGTCAATTTCAAATTTGGTCCTTCATCCAACCTAACCACTAAGGGCCTGTTTTGTTTGGTTGTCATTTTTTTGTGTTATAATAGTGTAGTCGTCAGGCGCACAACCAACTCTTTTGCTTAGTTTGTTAAAATGTGCGTGATACTGTAGCTGAGTTGGTGCTAGTATAGCTGAGTTGACAGGCTCTCAGCAATTCTCAGCAAAAAGCAAGGAATTGGACTCGCGTTATTGTAGTTGCCAGTACAGTTGAACCACTCAATTCTGT